GATGTAGTGCGGATGACAAGAAACAGATGATTGCTGATGTTATGAATGAAAAGAAGTTGGATGTCCTGGCCCTAACGAAACAAAGCTGAAGGGGGTGGGAGAGTTTCAGTGGGGGAAATAAATGGGATTAAATCTGGAGTATCTGAGAGAGTTAGAGCAAAGGTAGGGGTAGCGTAATGTTAAATGATCAGTTATGGAAGGGAGAAAAGAGAATATGAATGTGAAATTCAAGAATTATGTGGATTAAAGTAAAGGTGGATGCGGAAGTGGGTCATAATAAGCGTGTATGCACCTGGGAGAAGAGAGGAATGCCAGAGGAGAGAGAGAGATTTTGGAGATGTTAAGTGAAATGTATAGGAGCCTTTGAACCAAGTGAGAGAGTAATTGTGGTAGGGGACCTGAAGCTAAAGTAGGAGAAACTTTTAGAGAGGAGTGGTAGGTAAGTTTGGGGTGCCAGTGTAAATGAAAAATGGGAGCCCTTTGATTGAACTTTGTATAGAAAGGGGTTTAGTTATAGGTAATTACATATTTTAAGAAAAAGAGGATAAATAAGTAAAACAAGATATGATGTAGGGCAAAATGACATTTGTTTGTTGGATTATGTACTGGTAGATAAAAGACTGTTGAGTAGACTTCAGGATGTACATGTTTTTAGAGGGGCCACAGATATATCAGATCACTTCTAGTTGTACTTACACTGAGAGTAAAAGGTAGATTGGGATACAAGGAGAATAGAAGCATCAGGGAAGAGAGAGGTGAAGGTTTATAACTAAAAGAGGAGGCAGTTAGGGTAAGAATATAAACAGCTATTGGAAGGATAGATGGCCCAATGAGAAACATAGGCAATGGGGTCGAAGAGGTAAAGGGGTAGGTTTAAAAATGTAGTGTTAGAGTGTTCAGCAGAAGTTTGTGGTTACAGGAAAGTGGGTGCGGGAGGAAAGAGGAGCGATTGTGGGGGAATGATGAAAGTAAAGAGAGTAGTAAGGGGGAAAAAGTTAGCATATGAGAAGTTTTTACAAAGTAAAGTGATGCAAAAGGGGGGAAGAGTAAAATGGAGAAAAAAAAGAGAAAGGTTAAGAGAGTGGGGAAGCAATGTAAAAAGAGAGCAAATGAGAGAGTGGGTGAGATGTTATCAACAAATTTTTGTTGAAAATAAGAAAAAGTTTTGGAGTGAGATTAACAAGTTAAGAAAGCCTAGAGAACAAATGGATTTTTCAGTTAAAAATAGGAGAGAGAGTTATTAAATGGAGAGTTAGAGGTATTGGGAAGATGGAGGGAATATTTTGAGGGTTGTTAAATGTTGATGAGATAGGGAAGCTGTGATTTCGTGTATAGGCAAGGGGGAATAACATCTTGTAGGGGTGAGGAAGAGCCAGTTGTGGGGGGGGAAGTTCGGAGGCATTGGGGAAAAAAAAAGGGGTAAGGCACCAGGTTGATGGGTAAAGATAAAATGTTAAAGCAGGGGGGGTATAGTTTTGGAGTGGGTTTGGGCAATTTTTAATAAAAGTATGGAAGAGGGGGAAAGGGACCTAGGGATTGGCAGGAAACATGCATAGTTCCTTTGTATAAAGGAAAAAGGGGAAAAATAGAGTGCAAAAATTTTAGGGGGGTAATCTGTTGAGTTACCTGGTAAAGTGTATGGGGAGTTTAATTGAAAAAATTTTAAAAGTAAGAGGAGAAAGGGTGCAATGAACAAGGGGGCTTTAGGAAAGGGAGGGGTGTGTGGACCCGGTTTACAGTGAAACATATAAGTGAACAGTATTTTGTAAAATAAGAGGTTTTGGGCATTTATGGGTTTGGAAAAGGCTATGCAGGGGGGGATAGGGGGGAATGTGGGAGATTTGAAGTGTTTTGTAGGAGGGAGGTTATGAAAGCAGGAAAAGTTTTTTTCGGGGAATGAGGCCCCAAGTTAGGTATGTGGAAAGAGGGAAATTTTTTCCCCGTAAAAAAGGCCTTAGACAAGGGTGTGGAGTTACCGTGGTTTTTTTTAAATTTTTAAAATGGGGTTGTAAGGGAAGTAAATGCGAGGGTCTTGGCAAGAGGCGTGGAGTTAAAAGATAAAGAATCACACACAAAGTGGGAGTTGTCACAGCTGCTCTTTGCTGATGACAGTGTGTCTTGGGAGATTCTGAAGAGAAGTTGCAGAGATTGGTGGATGAATTTGGTAGGGTGTGCAAAAGAAGAAAATTAAAGGTGAATACAGGAAAGAGTAAGGTTATGAGGATAACAAAAAGATTAGGTGATGTAAGATTGAATATCAGATTGGAGGGAGAGAGTATGGAGGAGGTGAACGTATTCAGATATTTGGGACGTGGACGTGTCAGCGGATGGATCTATGAAAGATGAGGTGAATCATAGAATTGATGAGGAAAAAGAGTGAGTGGTGCACTTAGAGTCTGTGGAGACAAAGAACTTTGTCCTTGGAGGCAAAGAGGGAAATGTAATGAGAGTATAGTTTTTACCAACGCTCTTATATGGGTGTGAAGCGTGGGTGATGAATGTTGCAGCGAGGAGAAGGCTGGAGGCAGTGGAGATGTCATGTCTGAGGGCAATGTGTGGTGTGAATATAATGCAGAGAATTCGTAGTTTGAAAGTTAGGAGGAGGTGCGGGATTACCAAAACTGTTGTCCAGAGGTCTGAGGAAGGGTTGTTGAGGTGGTTCGGACATGTAGAGAGAATGGAGCGAAACAGAATGACTTCAAGAGTGTATCAGTCTGTAGTGGAAGGAAGGAGGGGTAGGGGTCAGCCTAGGAAAGGTTGGAGGGAGGGGGTAAAGGAGGTTTTGTGTGCGAGGGGCTTGGACTTCCAGCAGGCATGCATTAGCGTGTTTGATAGGAGTGAATGGAGACAAATGGTTTTTAATACTTGACATGCTGTTGGAGTGTGAGCAAAGTAACATTTATGAAGGGATTCATGGAAACCGGCAGGCCGGACTTGAGTCCTGGAGATGGGAAGTACAGTGCCTGCACTCTGAAGGAGGGGTGTTAATGTTGCAGTTTAAAAACTGTAGTGTAAAGCACCCTTCTGGCAAGACAGTGATGGAGTGAATGATGGTGAAAGTTTTTCTTTTTTGGGCCACCCTGCCATGGTGGGAATCGGCCAGTGTGATAATAAAAATAAAAAAATAAGCCTATCTGATGTTATCCTGATGCCAAATGACTTCGAACAGGCGATAAATGACATGCCCATGCACTCTGCCCCAGGGCCAGACTCATGGAACTCCGTGTTCATCAAGAACTACAAGAAGCCCCTATCACGAGCCTTTACCATCCTATGGAGAGAGAGCATGGACACGGGGGTCGTCCCACAGTTACTAAAAACAACAGACATAGCCCCACTCCACAAAGGGGGCAGTAAATCAACAGCAAAGAACTACAGACCGATAGCACTAACATCCCATATCATAAAAATCTTTGAAAGGGTCCTAAGAAGCAAGATCACCACCCATCTAGAAACCCATCAGTTACACAACCCAGGGCAACATCGGTTTAGAACAGGTCGCTCCTGTCTGTCTCAACTATTGGATCACTATGACAAGGTCCTAGATGCACTAGAAGACAAAAAGAATGCAGATGTAATATATACAGAATTTGCAAATGCCTTCAACAAGTGTGACAATGGTGTAATAGCGCACAAAATGCGTGCTAAAGGAATAACAGGAAAAGTCGGTCGATGGATCTATAATTTCCTCACTAACAGAACACAGAGTAAAGTCTGAGGCAGCTACAGTGAAAAGCTCTGTTCCACAAGGCACAGTACTTGCTCCCATTTTGTTCCTCATCCTTATATCTGACATAGACAAGGATGTCAGCCACAGCACCGTGTCTTCCTTTGCAGTTGACACCCGAATCTGCATGACAGTGTCTTCCATTGCAGATACTGCAAGGCTCCAGGCGGACATCAACCAAATCTTTCAGTGGGCTGCAGAAAACAATATGAAGTTCAACGATGAGAAATTTCAATTACTCAGATATGATAAACTTGAGGAAATTAAATCTTAATCTGAGTACAGAACAAATTCTGGCAACAAAATAGAGCGAAACACCAACGTCAAAGACCTGGGAGTGAACTTGTTGGAGGATCTCACCTTCAATGACCATAACATCGTATCAATCGCATCTGCTAGAAAAATGACAGGATGGATGATGAGAGCCTTCAAAACTAGGGATGCCAAGCCCATGATGACACTCTTCAGGTCACTTGTTCTATCTAGGCTGGAATATTGCTGCACACTAACAGTACCTTTCAAGGCAGGTTAAATTGCTGACCTAGAAAATGTACAGAGAACCTTCACGGCAAGCATAACGGAGATAAGACACCTCAATTACTGGGAGTGCTTGAGGTTCCTGAACCTGTATTCCCTGGAATGCAGGCAGGAGAGATACATGATTATATAACCTGGAAAATCCTAGAGGTCTGTACCGAACTTGCACATGAAAATCACTCACTACGAAAGCAAAAGACTTGCTGGACGATGCACATCCCCCAATGAAAAGCAGGGGTGTCACTAGCACGTTAAGAGACCATACAATAAGTGTCAGGGGCCCGAGACTGTTAAACTGCCTCCCAGCATACATAAGGGGGATTACCAACAGACCCCTGGCAGTCTTCAAGCTGGCACTGGACAAGCACCTAAAGTTGGTTCCTGATCAGCCGGGCTGTGGCTTGTACTTTGGTTTGCATGCAGCCAGCAGTAACAGCCTGGTTGATCAGGCTCTGATCCACCAGGAGGCCTGGTCACAGACCGGGCTGCTGGGGCGTTGACCCCCGGAACTCTCTCCAGGTAAACTCCAGGTAAACAGTTGTCTCTTTCTATCGGTGTAGTCTTGACTGTGGTGATGTGATTCTATTTGTCATGGTGTAATCAAAATATCAAAATACTTTCCCTGATAATATTTTTCATCAAGGGCTAGTCAAATAATAGTTCAAAGAATTCTAATTTATTTTCAGTGTTTCCAAGGGAACAAACTGGCAGGATTTCACTTCAAGTGTCATCAGACTGATGGGGATTGGGAACAAAATTGGGATTGTGCTGACAATCTCAGATGCAGTTTGCTGGTGGATACAGCACACCATAAGCTGGTTGTGGTTGTAGTTATGGTTGTGGTGTGAGGGGTGGATGATGCTCCACTTTGTCCTGGATCTGATGATTCAGCCGCGTCGGTCCCAACCTGGGCTGTTGCATCATACTGCGTGGCCATGGCACCACATCCGCCACTATCACCACCACCTACTGATGCCTGTGGTCTATCCATACACAATTTGTGATTTATCTTGAAGATCTTTACAGATAAACATTTAAAAGGGACAATTTTATTTAGTGAAACATGTGACAATAGATCAAAAATTATTTTAGTTCAGTATGTTTTGTTGGTAATTGTGGAATATTTTACTGTACTCAATTATCTTTCTGTTGCAGAAGTATTTTGTAGAAGACTACCAGGTTGTTTCTTGCCAGACACTACATCATCAATACTTTAAGAAGCACCAGTGTAAGTGTCTTGAATAACAACTGATATTGCAGAAGTATTTTGCAGAGATACAGGTTGTTTCTTGCCAGACACTACATCATCAATACTTTAAGAAGCACCAGTGTAAGTGTCTTGAACAACAACTGATATTGCAGAAGTATTTTGCAGAAGACTACCAGGTTGTTTCTTGCCAGACACTACATCATCAATACTTTAAGAAGCACCAGTGTAAGTGTCTTGAACAACAACTGATATTGCAGAAGTATTTTGCAGAAGACTACCAGGTTGTGTCTTGAAAGATGCTATATCTTCAGTACTTCAAGAAAGGCAACATCTGTTATTCTTGTGTATTTTTAACTATCTAAGCATTACTTATTAAACAATTTTGCTTTTCATTTTGGGTATTCTATCTAAAAATGAATAGCAATTAATTCTTTGAGAGTCCATTGTTCTATGACTTTTAAGTCAGGGTCCAAGCTGTAGTACTACATCATGAGCTCAGCTTACTCAGATAAGCTGTGAGTGGTAAATTTGGGCCTAAATATGAGAGAATGCATCAATATGGTAAGTGTGAACTATATAAAACAAATCCTGCAGCACACAGTGCATAATGAGAAAAAAACAACTATTTTTGGATTAAAACAGCAAATTTTCAGTGTATTTTCATATGGTTTTTATGGTAGCATTCACTGTTTCTTGGTCTCATTTGATAGAATTGAAGATGTATTACAGAAATTATTTTGTTAGATTTTAGTACTGAAAATTGCCAGAAATTGAGTTCAGAGTAGCAAAAATATTCTATTTTTGCAAATGTTAGATAGAGGATAAACAAATCACATCACGTGTCCAATATATGCCAGATGGTGGGTCAAATGTGCATTCCTGAATGTGCTGATATTATTTATACAATATTACAATATTGAGTAACAGTAATTTTTTTTGTGTGTGTGTGAATAAAAATTATCTGTGAATAAAAAAACAAAATCAAATTCATCTGTAAAGCCTGGAAATGTAACTAATAAATAGTGTAAATGTTAGTTTAGCACCAGGAATGCCTGCATTGGAACACATACTAGCAAAATAGATAAGAATTTGGTCTAACAGATCAATGTAACTGGTCAAAAACAAGACTCAAAGTGGGTAAAATTGCCAATGCATAAATATTGCTTATACAGGAACATTCGTGGGAGCATAACTTCATAAATTCTTGATCAAATTAATACTTTTTGTTTTATTACCTTCAGAAAAAAAATCTCTACCATTTCATAAGAAAAAATCATTTTTTTTTTTTAGATTCTTGGATTTTGTGGGGAATTTTCAAATTGGGAATCTGAACCTTCAAAGGCTTAATGAAAAAAAAACAAGATCGTAATTTTGTAATTAAAAATTTTCAGAAAAAATTGTTTAAACACAATATAAACTTTATTAGCACTCATAAGTAGGAAAAGTTTTGCCTGAATAAAACTTAACATAGGATTTTTTCATAAAGAAAACTATGTGTTCAGTGTCCAAAATAATTAAAAAAATTCATGAAATAGACATGTGAGTACATAAGGAAAATTAACTATACCACTGTTGTATGACTAAAGTATTTTAAATTAAATACCTTCATTTAAAAAATATGGAAAAACATAAAGAACATAAACCATATCAATGTTCAGAGTGTCTGAAATGTTTTAGTGAAAAAAAAAGTCTTGTGAGACATATGAGAGTACATACAGGAGAGAAACCATATCAATGTTCAGAGTGTCTGAAATGTTTTAGTCAAAAAAACAGACTTGTGACACATATGAGAGTGCATACAGGAGAGAAACCATATCAATGTTCAGAGTGTCTGAAATGTTTTAGTCAAAAAAACAGACTTGTGACACATATAAGAGTGCATACAGGAGAGAAACCATGTCAATGTTCAGAGTGTCTGAAATGTTTTATTGAAAAAAGCAAACTTGTGAAACATATGAGAGTACATACAGGAGAGAAACCATATCATTGTTCAGAGTGTCTGAAATGTTTTAGTCAAAAAAGTAGTCTTTTGACACATATGAGAGTACATACAGGAGAGAAACCATATGAATGTTCAGAGTGTCAGAAATGTTTTGTTGAAAAAAGCAAACTTGTGACACATATGAGAGTACATACAGGAGATAAACCATATAAATGTTCAGAGTGTCTGAAATGTTTTAGTCAAAAAACAAGTCTTGTGACACATATGAGAGTACATACAGGAGAGAAACCATATGAATGTTCAGAGTGTCAGAGACGTTTTAGTGTAAAAAGAAGTTTTGTGGCACATGTGAGAGTACATACAGGAGATAAACCATATCAATGTTCAGAGTGTCTGAAATGTTTCAGTCAAAAAAGATATCTTGTGAAACATGTGAGAGTACATACAGGAGAGAAAACATATGAATGTTCAGAGTGTCTGAAATGTTTTATTGAAAAAAGCAAATTGGTGAGACATATGAGAGTACATACAGGAGAGAAACCATATGAATGTTCACAGTGTCTGAAATGTTTTATTGAAAAAAGCAGTCTTGTGACACATATGAGAGTACATATGGGAAATATACCATATCAATGTACTGTCTGAAATGTTTTAGTGAAAAGGCAATCTTGTGAGACATATGCGAGTACATACAGGAGATAAACTATATCAATGTGCTAAGGGTTTCAGGTGTTTTAGTGTAAAAGTTCATCTTGTGAGACATTCACAAGTACATTCAGGAGATAGAACATGTTAATGTTAATGTTTCAGGAATATTTTAGCTATAAACTCATGAGAATATATAAAAGGGATATACCATAACAGTGTTGAGAGTGCCTTTTCGAAGTCATTTGGCATCAGGATTATATCAGATAGGTTCAAGTTTATGAAATTCTGTCTTAAAAAAAATTCATTTAGGTCTTCAACTCTGTCATACTGGGACTTGAGTAGCTCATTCATTTCCTCGCTGTCATCTGCGTAGCACCCATCTCGTTTAAGTAGGTGCTCAATATTGGATTTTGTTCTTGACATCGATTTGGTATAAAAGAAATATTTTGGGTTTCTTTCAATTTCATTTATGGCGTTTAGCTCTTCCCACATATCTTGACTCCTGTAAGACTCCTTTAGCTTAAATTCAATGTTTACTGTTTCTCTGACCAGTATCTCTATACGTATTACAGATATGTTGGCCTCTTTTAGCCACTCTGTTATTCTTTGCCTTTACCTGTATAAGGAGTGCCTTTCTCTTTCTAGTTTACATCTCCTTTTCCTTAAAGGAAATATAAAATGTAATAATTAGGAATAACAAATGTAAATATTATGCTAAGAATTATAAATTATAGTGTTCTTGCAGACATTTGTGTTCATTTTTATCAAATATTTATATAGGATTTTTTGTAAAAGTTTCAAGGATTTTATTATTGTCACTTATTCTCTTTTCAAATATTTTTGATAGATTTAATTTTTAGCATTTACTGATCTATGTATAATCTTAACCCTTTCAGGGTTGGTGCTGTACTAATATGGCTTGCACGCCAGGGTTGGTGCCGTAATAATACACATAAATTCTAGCACCTTCAAATCTAGGAGAGAAAGCTGGTAGGCCTACATATGAAAGAATGGGTCTATGTGGTTAGTGTGCACAGTATAAAAAAAACCTGCAGCACACAGTGCATAATGAGCAAAAAAACTCTGACCGTGTTTTTGGTTTAAAACAGCGACTTTGCAGTGTATTTTCATATGCTATTTATGGTTGTATTCTAGTTTTCCTGGTCTCATTTTATAGAATGGAAGACATATTACAGAAATTGAGATGAATTTGATTGGTTTCACAATGTTCGATTTTTTGCCAAAGTTCAAAAGTAAACAAATCATGCCATGCATCCAATACACATCAACTGGTGAGTCTGATATTCATTCACAAGTGTGCTGATATTATTTATACCATTTCTAAACTAATTCAGTAGTCTGCATAACAGTAAATCTAATATTTGCGAGAATAAAAATTCAAAGTGGAAAGCAAAAGAAATGTAAGAGGGACCTTGGGATGTGACTAATGAACAGAGGAAATGTTACTTTAGTTCCAGGAATGTCTGTCTGGTTTATTTTGTACACTATTTGAAAATTGGCATCTTTTGAAATTTTTGTGAAATTGGCAAAATTGCAAATTTCTGACCACTTTATTGGATAGTTGAAATTGGTAAATGGGTGGTTTCTTGTATTCATTCCATAGACAAAATGGAGTTCTAGTGAAATAGCTATTATTTTTTCGACTGGAACATGGGAATTGGCTGAAAATAAGGCTCAAATTGGGCAAAATCGCTGATGTGTAAACATCAAACATTGTCGAGACCGCTAACTTCATGAGAGCAATAATTCCATAAGTTTTCCATCAGATTTCATACTTTTGGTGTCATTATTATCGGGAAAAGACTCTCTATCATTTCATAAGTTTTTTTTTTTTTTCTTTTGAAAAATTTCCGACCCTGAGAACAAGGTTTGGGGAGGGCCTGCCGACTCTGAAAGGGTTAATAACATTTGTAGATGAGGATAATTATCTCATTATTTCAGTTTTATCAAAATTTTCAACTAATTTACTTGACTTTCATTGGTCCTATACTGTTTCGTGGTTTCCAAATTAATCATATGAGAATAATAGCAAAAGATCTTAAAAATCCAGTTAGGTTAAATCTAATTTCTCATGGAAACACAACTCCTTGAATGAAAATTACAACCATGGTGAAATAAAAATAATATAAATATAGTCAAAGTCAGGTAAAGAAAAATGCAAAAATTTAAGGTTTTAATAAATAATATGAAAACAAAATGTGTGTGACCCTACCTGGTTTATAGCTTGTTTTTTTATTATAATAAATGAAAACAAGTGAAACGCATGTAGATGGTGCAGAGCAGTCTTCCCATTTGTGGTGGGAATTTGGTTATCTGGGGAGTTACTGACTTCATTCCTCTTCAAGGGGGTCTCCTTGGCATGGTGAAGAGGCTCTTGGTCTGAGGAATTAGACCTGTCGGTCTACTTCCTCAGACCGAACCTAATTACCCCCCAATCCCCCATTCCCTATCCCATCCTCCCCATCCTCCCCTTTTTCCTTTCCTCCTCCTCCTCCCCACCCCTCCCTTTTGCCCTTCCTTTTTTTTTTTTTTTTTTCCACAGGCACGCTAGTTCCTAGGTAGGGGAAAGAGTACCGGGGTCCATCCCATTCCGTTGAGGTTCTTGGTGGTGGCGTAGTTTGCCGTGGAATCTGGATTGCCTGGGGATGTCCTGATCCGTCTCCGGTATCCCGGAGGGTGACTTTGGGTGTCTCTCGGGCGACGGATGTATCTCTGGAAGCCACCTTTCGGATTCCGGGGGTGGTGGCCGAAGGAGGAATGCTTTGTGGTGGATTTCCGGCCGCCCTCTCTTTTGTCCACCGAGGTAGCTCGGCAGATGTGAGGTTGCTATCCCGGATTGCCGGTTTACTGGCATGATGGGTAGGGTATGGCACGGGTTCCATGCTGCATCTGCGCTACTTGCGGTGCTGAGGTCCTCTTGGGCACGGAGGGAGATTTCTGGCCATTTCATTCCTCCTAGGAACTATCCCTCCCCGGTCCCCCCTTTTTTTATTCTTTTTTTTTATTTTTATTTTCTTTTCTTCTTTTTTTTTTTCTTAAAACAAAAAGAAAGAAGTAACCTAACCATGGCAGCCCTAGTCCATGAACCTGCTACCCCCGGGCCCCTTCTTGATACCGCACCCCGTTCTGACCCTGCCCGTCTTTGGACCACTCTTCGGACACTCCTCATGCCTCTGTACCTCTTGCCGGTGCTGTTTCCTCACCCGCTTCAGGTACTGAGGCCTCGACTGACTCCTTCGATTTATCTGACCTTCGCTCTCCTCTGACTATGCTTCCGGCCTCTCCCTCTACGGTGCGGCAATTTTCGAATCGCCGGCCCGTTCCACGTCGGACCAACTCTGGTCCCACGCCTAAACGACAACGACAATTACCTGCTGATGATACTTCTCCACCTTCTCGTTCTTCTCAGAAAAGATCGACACGTCCTTCACTACCTTTCCACGCTCAGTTTCAGACTGCACAATGGACTAAATTCTTCACTTTACGACCGACTTCCTCTACTGCCTATCTTTCTGACCACAGTATTGGCAAGGCACTCCTACACCATGTTGGTAAAGATATTTCTTTTCATGCTCTTATGAGTGGTACACGCATCGTCACCGTACAGAATGCTACCCAGGCTCATGAGCTTTCTCGTCTTTCCCACATCGATACTGTTCCTGTAACTATTGAAAAGCATCATTCCCTCAATTCTTGTAGTGGTACCATCATTCTGCCCCATACCATAGTTCAACAAAATTTCTAGACATGTGGCACTGACATTCTTGAACAGCTGGAACTCCAAGATCTCCCAATCCTCAAGGTAGACACTTACGTTCTTCCTGCCCGCAGGCGGAGATGATACCCTAGCAATGTGGCTTGTTTAACTTTTGACAGCCGTGAACTCCCATCCTCAGTTTATGTAGCAGGACATCGGTTACAAGTTCAAAAGGTGATCCCTACATCGCAACAGTGTAGAAATTGCTGGCGATTTGGCCATCCAGCGAAATATTGCAGATCTATCGCCGAATGCCCAGTCTGTGGGAGCTGATGACATTCTAATACGTTTGCAATCGACCTCCCTATTGCCGTAATTGTCATGAGGGATCACCTTCGTACATAGCATTGTCAAGGTCTACTTAACGAGCGAGGAAATTCCGTTACTCAAAGAGGCAGAAGGTCTACATTATGCCCATGGCGTTTCTCCATCTCTGCCTCCAAGGAGACTACCTAATGTTCTTATTCTGGGTTTCAAAAACGTGCCCCCCCACTTCTGGTATCCCATATTCTGCACCGCAATCTGTGGGTACATCTCCCATAGTCACTCCTGTAGTTAATTCTTTTGCTGACTCGGCTCAGACGTCCCTTTTCAACGTCTCAGTCTGATCTTGCCTTCTTCGTGTTCTCTTCTCACAAGCCTCAGTTAGCGACGAGATCTCGTATGACACCTCTTCCCAAAGGTCCCTTTGCTTCGTCAAAAGTCAATAAAAAGGGTTCGTTACACTCCTACCATCTTCACCCTCCTCATTTTCCTTTCCTGTCTCTGTACTGGTATTCCCTCTCTGCTATTTACAAGTGTAAGAGGTTCACCCTCCTCCTGTAACTGTACCTTCTCCCCTGTTCCACTCCATGTTTCTTCCTCTTTTGGCCACCTCCAAATTTCTGAATCTTCTGTCCCCTTCCCAAGTTCTCCTGTACCCTCCACCCTTCGTCACCCCTACTTAATACAGTCCATTTACAGTTCCAATCTTTACTCATCCTCCCCCTACCATTTCCAATAATTGTCTCCCATACCAACGGTTCTGAATTCTGAAACTTGAGCATTCTTTGAATATATTGCAGAGGACAAACCCATAATGGACACTGATCAACACTGCTCCTTCTTCTCTTTACTCATTGGGCAACTCCTTTCTCTACAGGCACCATTCTTCGCTGCTGAAGTTTTTCACTGCCTCCGCATGTGGACTTTTCAAACCCCTCTTAGTTCATAGGAACACCCTACCTGCGGATTTCAGGTATCTTTATCATTGCAATCATGGCCTATTTACAGTTGGAAATTGCGGCCTCAGGGGTAATCGGGGTGGAGTTCAGATGTTACTCTCCCAGTTTTCCCCGGTTGGTGTTGCTGACAGGAAACAAAATTAACGCTGCTGTTATTCTCCCATCTCAGGCTATAATTTATTGTATTCTTCAGATCCTTTTCCTGATGGGACCTTTAATGAAAGTGCACTTCTTCTACGCCTGATATTCCGTACCATCAGCTATTTGTTCGTACTTCGCTGCATTAAACAGCAGCCCGTATCCACTTGCATAGGTGGTATTACGCTTGTTCTTTAATATCTCTCTCTTCTCGGGCATTATCTATTCGGATATTGCTTTCTTGTTTAGTCATTACCACCACGATTTCTTTTACTTGAGATAAGATAGATAAGATAAGAATTTCGTTGGATTTTTAACCCGGAGGGGGTTAGCCCCAGGATAGCCAAGAAAGTCGTGCATCATCGTGGACTGTCATTACTTATTTCCATGGGGTCCTTAATCTGTCCCCCAGGATGCGACCCACACCAGTCGACTACACCAGGTACTCTTTATTTGCTGCTAAGTGTGACAGGACAATAGGTGTAGGAAAACGTGTCGAAAATGTTTCACCCACCGGGAATCGAACACGGGCCCTCCGTGTAGTGTAATGCGGGAGCTGTAGCCACCAGGCACCAGGCCACAGTGATTTTTAATGCCACCATTTCTCTGGGGGGGCTCCTTCACTGTGATTCGTGGCATTCAGTTAGAGGCGTTCCATTGCCACCCACCCCCCTCCATGTTTTAAATAGTTCTCAACCATTTTTGATCTCGGACTCACACTCTCTCTTGCATCGATCTCTCGTCTGTCTCTTCCTCCCCGCATTGACTTACTTGGTTTTTCTTCCAGGCTTTCATGACAGCGATATTTCCCCATCCATTCTTACTGCCCCTCATATTCACTACCGCTTC